ATCAATTTCAATTCTCCCCCTGATTTTATTAATTGTGGTAGTTAGGGTTTCAAGGCCCTTTAGATATTCAAATTCAATCTTAAAACCTCAGATCATCAATCATTCAATCAAACAAGAACAATCAATCAAACAAATAAATAAACCGGTTTAAAGATTAGGGTTTATGGTTCTTTAAACATCCAAATTTTAAATCCTATCATCCGGTTCTAAGTTCTCAAACAATCAATCAATCTATCAGATATCCTAACATAGATCTATTGATTCCATACCTATTGGTTTCTATCAATTAGGGTTTATATATATACCATTGTTTGAAGATTAGTAACCGGACCACCTTTAGAGAGAGAGAGGAGCAGCCGCGGGTGAGACGGCTAGGGTTTCTCCAACTTTAAACCTGTTAGGGCTTTCACATACAAAAAGGAAAGTAAGTTAGGGTTTTATTAACCAAAAGGAAAGTAAAAATCAAGTAAAAGAAAGGATTTAGTCGGCTTGTTTGGTTGGACGGAGAAAAAGGAAAATCGCTAGGGCTTTCCGGATGGGAAAAAGGAAATTCTGGTCCGCCGGATTGATTCGGTGATTGACGGCGCGTCTGATGTCAGATTGACACGATGTTTGAACTGATGGATTCTTCTCTTCAAGGGCTTCAATTGCATATGTAGATCGTCGTCTGGGACCGCGTGGTTTGAGAGATAAATCGACTTGAAGTTGAGCCGATATTACGGTTTCTCGGGTAGGAGAAAAGGAAATTCATGCGCCGGCTTGTTTCTGAGCTAGAGGACGCGTCTAGTATCGGATTGAGGAGCTCTTTGAACTGGTAGCTTCTTCTCGTCGAGATCTTGAGTTTGATAGGTGACTCGTCATCTGGGTACACACGGTTTAGGAGATACGTCGCTTTGAAGATGCGGCTGGAATTAGGGTTTTGCTGCTGCCGCCTAGAGAGAGAGAGATACGGATTTTGGTGGTTGGTTTCTTAGCTCTGGTGAGACTCGTGCTGATAACGTATTGTAAACTAAGATGAGAATGAGAGAAAGTAATGGGGAATTCTCTGTATATTATTACTGATGAATATATGTTCCTTTATATAAGGACTTACAAGAAGAGATAAATGGAAAGTATCCAAATCCTAAGTACACATAAATGGTAAGTCTTGGCCGACAAGGAATAAGGTAAAGTCGGCTGCTCTCTTGTCTTGGGTAAANTGTTCCTTTATATAAGGACTTACAAGAAGAGATAAATGGAAAGTATCCAAATCCTAAGTACACATAAATGGTAAGTCTTGGCCGACAAGGAATAAGGTAAAGTCGGCTGCTCTCTTGTCTTGGGTAAAGGCGTGTGGGCCTTAGGTCTTCTTGGTCTTGGTCTATGGTTATGGCCCATCCACATAATGTGTCCATAACAAAATGACAATATATATTATAATAAATTTTGATATAAAATCATTTACTCCCTCCGTTTCAGAATACTTGTCATTCTAGGCTTAATTTTTTTGTCACAAATTAAGTTTCCTTTTAGAGTTTCGAAACAAACTTTATTAGTTTTATATAATATTATATTTTTTTATTGGTTGAAAAGTGGTTAGGTGTATAGGTTATTGTGTTTTTATCTTGAAAATATGTAAAATTAAATGTTCTTTTAATCTGTGTGCAAAAATCTAGAATGACAACTAAAGTGAAACGAATGGAGTATTTTTCAGAAAATAAATTTGAAATGTTGTTATGAGAAAAATTGTAGCAACATATCTCCTATATATTATTTGTGAACTAACTTTGACACATGTTATTACCATATTCATTCTAACCAAAATAAGATGACATGACACAAAAAATGACATGGATTTTAAAAAAATGACATGGATTTTAAAAAAATGACATGGCGTCAGATTATTTATGATAAGTAAAATTTTCTTATAAGAGTTTATATTTTTGGTAATAATTTTTAAATATGGTAATAACTAATAACTCATATATTATCATTAATCTAAATTTTCATATAAATATTTATTTTTGATATAACTATTAAAATTTATTTATAACTCATATATCATAAGCTAAATAGGATTACAAATATAATTTTTACATCAAATTATACAATTGTTTGTATAAATATAAATAAATATATATATATACATATATATTTTACCAAAATTAATTATAAATATACATCAAGGAATACAAAACTAAAGTAATACTAATTAATCTTCTCTATTAAAAGAGAAGTACCAAATTTATCTACCATTTAGAAGTCATATTGGACCATGTCATTAATTATTTAATTTGACATATTTGATTGTTACATTGTCAAATATATATTATTTTAAAAATATCTTAATAATTAATAAATATATTAATAATAAATGAATTTAAATAAAAAAAAATCTGTTGAAAAAATCTAACAAGATCTTACCAAAAATTTAAATATTTTTTTTTTATAAATAGGTATTTCTTTATTTACTTATTAGATATAATTATAGTTAAAGCTAAAATATAAATCATATATTCAAAAAATTTTAGTTATATATTTATAAAATAAAAAATATACCTGCACGAATGTGCGGGTGAAATTCTAGTAATCATTAAATATGATATCATATAGATGATAAGATATTATATATATAAGAAATAATCATTAAATATAATAGAATATAATTTTCTATATAAAATATATTTGTAAATTTATATAAATTCTAATTTAAATAATTAAGAAAAAATTAAAATAAATAAGAATAAAAAAATAAATAAAGATAATTAAGCCAAATCAAATCAAATTTTTATGATTTTCTTCCAAACCGTAAAAATTTTAAATAAATATAAAAAATTTCTTTTGTATTAAAGGTATATTTAAAATTATTAATTATGCGCATGGCGCAGGAAAACTCATAGTATATATCTATATTGGAGATCTTTTAAAAAATTATAACATTAATTTTGTATTAATTACATACTGATTTTTTCTATTGTCAATCTATTGTCGATCTCGTAGATTTTCCTATTGCTGATGTGGTTTCATTAGAAATAGGTTAACCAAAACTTAGTCTAAGTTAATTAAGCTCTAGCGAAATAAATATGTGAACCGAATCATTTACGGTCCATCAATGCTACTAAACCGAATCATGAAGTTATGTTCGGTTTAGATTTATTATTTTTCCTGAGCCGTTCGGGTTTGTATCTGATTGGATTCAGGCATGGTTGGGTTTGGTACTGGTCTAGCAGCGTTGATGTGTTCTTGGCTGCGTTATATTTTTCTTACTGTTGTAAACTGAATTTGACATCTATTGGTGTTTGAATCTTGACCGGAAAATCGAGAAAATATAGAAATTCAGTTTGCAGAGTACATATAAGAGTACATATATCATGCTTTTTGATCAGGTAAGTGTTCCCATCTTAAAAAAAAATAATACGATTCCAAAAGTTGGGTTTTTGATTGAGTTTGTGATTCATAGATTCTTAATGCAACAAAAGTCAGCTAGAAGTACAAAAAGCAGGTAAAAGAACAGGGACAACGAGAAAATATGTCTTCATATCATCTCTCTTAGCATGTGCTTTTACGACAATTCTTTCAACGATCCTGATCACTCTATTATCATTGAAGAAAAGCGAGCGAAAAACTATGCATCTAAAGGTAATATAAACCAACATTTTATATGTTTAATTATCTATATATATGACAACTAGTAGAAGCCCGTGCTACGGGCGCGATATTTGTTAATTGTGTAAGATAACCTTTATTTAGTGTGTAAATTGTGTTGTTTATATTGTAAGTTCAAACTTAATAAATTTAAATGTGATTTATTTAAGACGTTACTGGTGCATTTTGGAATATAATTTCATGGGTTTATGAATTTGGTTAATTTGTACATATAAAACAGTATATTATGTGATAATTTAGTATATAGAGTCGTCGTGATTAAGGTGTTATGGTGTTTTAGATTAACTAAATTACGTCTATCAATTTTTTATTGTTTGACTATCTCCATGTGTCTTTTTTGTATATATCCTACATATTTATTTGAATTAAAGTATTTCTTTGAAATGTTATACGTGGTGATTTATGTATTAAGTTTTTTTGTTGTTTGTTCTTTTTGAAAATATAACTAACCTTTTATTTTAAGCCTTTAGTCCAAAAAAGTTAACCTTTTATTTTTCCGATCATTGAGTTGAAGTCTTATGTTGGGACCAGATACTGGCGTCATGTTTTTACTAAGTTGAATGGTCTTAATAAAAAGAACAATAGTATTTTTTTTGTCATGAAACTATACATTCTTTCTTTTAATCAAAAACACAAACTTTTTAATCTGTCTGTAATAAAAGCATGTGTGACATTGATTCTAATGTTATTGCAGTAGCAAATAATCATAATTTTTGTATCTACACGTTGCAATGTAAGATTGCAGCCTTTCAACTTTAACACCCCCCTGCTCAAAATTTTAGCACAAAAAATAAACTTTAACCACGTGGAATGAATTAACCTTAACCTCATGGGTATTTTGTTAAATTATTATCTTTATATGTTATTTTCCATAAACAACTCCAAACACCAAGCAATAAAATATCGATCTATATTCTCTTTTACAGAACCAACATTGAAGACCAAGCAAGCAAGAGTACTAAATAATATTTGATTGTTTTACGGATGTATTTTTTGAGGTATTTTTATAACTGTGTGTAATTTATATCTTCAATGTAAAAAGAAGAAGACATTGTTATATTAAACACGTGTTTTAAGACAACCATGTAAGAAAAAGATCTAATGACTATTATCCATGAAATCAGTGAATCAGAGTTTCCACATTAAAACAAAAAAATGAAGAAATTAAAAAAGAACAACCCAAACTAAAGAGTTGCGAAAAAATTATTATAGAAACGTATATAGAATGGCCCACCAAACTGTTTGTTCCCAGCCCGATTTGAAGCCATCACTTTTCTAAACACAACGGGACAGTATTAGCTAACAATCAATACATAGGTGACAGGTGTCGCGCTCTACTTGACTCATTTTCTGACATGGCAACCTCTAAGGAGGGAAAAGTATACTTAATATTGATAGATAATCTGGGTTGTAAAAATGATTTAGGGGTCAGTATGTATTCAAATGGATGCTACACTGAGAGTTTTTATCATTTGGTATTTATTTTTGGTATAAACTTTTAAGAAGCGTTATTTTGAAAATTTTCCTTAGTACTAAAGCTTATAAACTTTGGAATGGAGATTCCTTTCTTGAGACTCACTCAATCTTCAAATACAATTACATGCTCATCCGCAGGTGTTAAAGCAAGAAAGGAAGGAACTTTGCAGACTCATTGATAGCAGAAAGCTATCACCAGAAGCAGCTCTCCACGCAGTCTCCCGGTGAAAGCAATCATCAGAGTATTATTCACTGAGCAGACAAAGCTAAGCCGTCACGTTGACTGGAGTGGTAGCTTGACCAGGAGTCCAACAAACCCTTCAGGCTCACAACATTACTTTGAGCCACCAGGGTCTGGAGCGAGGTGCTTATCTAAATGCGAGATGAATGTTCAACAAGCAGAGATAAAGAGGCTTAGAGAAGATGCAGCGAGGCTGCAGAGTGAGTGCAGTGCTATGCATTTGCAGGTTGAGAGGCTTATGGAGAAGAAAAGTGGTGGGAGTAAAGGAGGGTTTTTCAGGTGGAAGAGGCTTGGGTTAGTGCCTTCTATTAGAGGAAGTGTTAGTGTTGAAGAGTTGACTAACGTTGAGAATAGTCAAGGCTTGAACCTCAGACTCCTGGGAATATGAAGACAAGGCTTGTCAAAGGTAGAACACCTTCAAGTGGAGAAAATCTATGTCTTAATGAAAACAACACAACAAGCTGTTATTACACATATATAGAGGAAGTCTTTTTGTACACAAACAATGATCAAGAAACTCAACACATGCATGTAATGAAAATATAACAGCAAGAGTTTGTTTTTAAGATTTTTTTTATAACACAGTTTGTTTTTAAGACTTTTCTTAACATGCTTATGCATACTCATTGCATAATTATATGCACTTGCAGGGCATCGCCAGTCCTATATTATATTCCAAATTTTATGTTAACTTTCCCAATCCACAGAGTGATCGTCTGGTTTGTATGATTTAAAGACCAATTTCTGGGTGCTGGTTTAAAAAAAATATTTGGATTAGTTTGGTTTGTGTTTTATTTTTATTTATAATGTGTTTCCATAAACTGATTTTGAGAAAAATAGCATTTTTGTCATTTGCTATTTTTATTCAATTTATTCTTTATCATAAAATAGTTTGGTTTTGTAAACATAACTGATTTAAATCATCTATTTTAATCAGAAACCATGTAAAGCAATTTCCTTTCTCTCTGTTGAAATTTGATTGAAAAAAATTCTTAAACTTTAGCTAAATAATTTAGGTTTTAGTCTCCTTGATAAAAAAAATTTTGGTTAGTGTATCAAATCAATATTGTAGAACCGTAAATTAATTATACAGATAGACTTATTTATTTTAATACATAAACCATGTAAAACAATTTCAATTCTCTTAATTCCTTTGAAATTCGATCGATACAAATTTCTTAACCTTTAGCTAAAATTTTTAGTTCTTAGTCTCCTTGATAAAAGAATTTTAGTTAGTGTATCAAATCAATATAGTGTAGCTGTAAATTAATTATACAAATGGACTTATTTTTTTGATGAAATTTCATATTTATTGATCTATGTAAATTAAAAGGTTATGTACATCTCAGTCATATATGACCAATACTATAAAGAATGAAAAGAATTTATAAGCTACTAAATTGTCAGCTGCAGCCATCGTTGGAGAAGTCCGCCGAACTTGTGCGGATGGTGGTATTTTAGTGAAAAGATTCTATTCCTCATTGCTTTATCAATCACTCTTCGCATTTGATCCGAGTTTGTCCATGCTTGTTGGTGACGCTTCACATTCATTTCCCTCCACAAATGGTACACCATGACCATAATTAATTTTAAATTGTTTATTTGTATTTGAAAAATTTAAAATGTTGTTTTTAAAAATAATTTAAAATTTAACTTAATTTTATATAAAATTCTTTTTTAAAATCTAATTTGTAAAAAATATAGTTTTCTAATATTCTTAAACAAATAAATAAATTATAGTAGATTAGTTTGAAACTTTACATATTTTAAATGCAAATATTTTACCAAATGCTTCTTAAAAAACATTAGAGAACTTGCTAATATTCTACCAATCAAACCCAATGACACTCAGTTTATTTTCCATCACTCAGACACTGAAAAGTGAAAAGATATATAAAATCAGGTCCATTAAATTCTAAGATTCTAAGATTTGATCTACAGTTATAATTACAATTGTTTCTGATCATACGTATAGATAATTATATAAAAAATCTAAAATTTTAAAATTTCAAATACATATAAAAATAATCATATGTAAATTTTAAATTTATCAATACTAAAATTTTATATTTTAGTTACATATATTCACCCTGCGTTTTGTGCTGGTCTTATCCTAATTTGTAGTTTATAGTGTTACGGATATAGGCCCATTTCATGAAATGGATAGATTGCGACGTGAAGTATATTTTTTTGGGGTAAAAGACGTGAAGTGAAATATATTTGGTTGCGATTGGTGTCAAAACATTCGAACTTTTTTTTCTGTATGTATGTTAAGGTTATACTATTTTTCGAGTTTACATTAACAACTTATCATATAAACATTAAGAAAAAAAAAAGAGCATGACTACACATTTGTCAATGAAAAATACGCAGCAAGAATGGGAAGTAGGGCTAGCGCTCCAAATATCATAGAACATTTGTAAAACATTCAGACTTTGTAAAATGCATAATCAAATGTTAGGGATGTGAGTAATTCTTAATTTTCATGTAAAAAGAATTTCATAGAAATTCTCTTAACTGATTTCATATAGGTTAATATCTTTAATAATAAAGTTGAGTTTTTATCTCTCCTTGGGAGGAATAATGACACTTATCCTCACATTCTTTGAACTATTTCGTTTGATGGGCTTTCATACAAGACTACATTTACTTACATTTCAGTAGCCCGTTTCTTTTTTAGGGTTGTAAATCGTCTTCTCAAATTTTCTTTTGGCCGCCCAGCATATAAACTTCCGTTTACCCTCTAAGAGCATTTCCAATGTAAAACTTCATTTTTTCCTCCAAAATGGAGTAAAAGAGAATATGAAGTAAAAATGCCCAAACCCTACTCCATTTTCCACTCCATAATGGAGTGATGAACAAACAAAAAACAGATTACTCCATTTATAGAGTAAACTCTATTATGGGGTGGGAAATGGAATAGGGTTGGAGTGTTTTCTACTCCATATTCCCTTTTACTCCATTTTAGAGTAAAAAATGGAGTTGGGTTGGAGATGCCCTAATACAACGAGTTCCAGAAGATTAGTCTGTTGAGCAATAGAGCTTCTGCTCAGACACCGAGTCACTGAACGCACTACGTACATTAGGTATTTATGACAATTACAATCCTTCTGTATTCGCATCGAAACATACAGATTTACGGCCTCTAGATCGAGCAACTCCATGTCAATTTGATGGGGTTAGTTATTCCTTTTATTTTGTGTATTCACTTACTAATACAGAATCTGAATCTGGATTAAAATTCACAGAATGGACTTCACTTTCTATGGTTTAGTTCAGAAAATTCCTTGTCCGGAATTCATGAATTCTGTAAATACTATGATATCTGTATTTGTGCAAGAAGATATCACACTTCCAAATGAAATACTTTTGTTCTCTCAATGTCATGTAGTTAATCGCTCACATCAATGTATTATTTCATACTTTGCTATATCAATTTGTTTTTCTTAAACATGATTAGATTAGTTGACCACAACCAACACTGGATTGATATATCTCTGTCTTCCTCCATGATTGTTGTTCAGTCATAAATATGCTAGCAAGGAAAAGCATTCGACCCCTCCTCATTCTAGCGAGGTTCGATCATCTTCGTTGGTGTCCTGTTTAGGCGTTGGTCTCTCTTCGATCACCATACCACTCACTGGAAACAACAACAAGTCTCTGACCCATTCCCATTTCTTACTACCAGCTCCCGTCTACATATTTATCACGGTATTGTACTGCTCTCGACTTTCTTAGTTTGTGTTTTCAGTCTCCTTCATGGTTTTGATCTTTGGTTCCAAACTCCAGTACAAGCATTGTAGAGAGCATGACAAAGAAGGCTGAAATAATAGAAAAGAATATTTCATATACTACAAATCTTGAAGGAAGAAGATAAGCCAAATGGAGTCGTGTGATTCAAGTAAGTACACAACTTCCCAGTCAAAAAATTTCTTTTGAACCTTTAAGATTTTTGGTAAGAATATTTACATTAAGAAAAATGCTCTTTCTTCACTGTCTTATCTCTGGAGTTTTCGTAAGTTCCCTTCACTATCTTACCAAACCACATCAAGTTCATTACGGTCAATGACATAGGTACCACTAAAACCAGTAGATAACCGAATGTTTGCATAAATTAATACCACCTGCCAAAAAATATCCATACATTTCAGTCCGCTATCCTCTGTAAGTAACCCGCACGAACAGAAAAAGCAGAGTATAAATTTAGACCGTTTGGTTCTGAAAAAAAAAATTAAGTTACCTGATCATAGTGTATGTGGACATGGTAAAACATGTAGATGAAGAGAACAATTCTTGCCATCTGCAAACAGAACATCAAGTTTCAGATATTAGAGAACTTAGAATCCAAATAAGCTTTAAGACAACAGATTGGTAACAACAAAAGGTTATAAAATACTCACCGCTCAAGCCAAGAAAATAGCTACTCCATTAATAAGATAAGCTTTAGATCGCTTCAAACCAGAGGAATTAAGGTACCATCTAAGATTGATCTCTGGTGTAGTCACTTAAGAGAGTAAAACCATGTATGTGTAAAGCTGAGCCTCTCCAGAGATCAGAGAGTAAGCTACACCTACTCCATAGAACCGGTGATGGAAAATGTATATAACAAAAAGTTGAAATTATCAGCCATATCAAGATTTTGGAGAAGTAAATGAAACTAACGGAGAGCATACAAAAGTTTTTTGTGTCTACTACTTAACATATTCTGGTCCTCCTAAAGAAGTGTATAACCAAACGATCATTCCAAGATCAGCAAGAAAGTAACTAACCAACTGATGATACCTGTGACATACACATCGCAACAAAGTACAATTTAACATATTCTGGTCCTCCTAAAGAAGTGTATAACCAAGTAATCATTCCAACGATCATTCCAAGATCAGCAAGAAAGTAACCAACTGATGATACCTGTGACATACACTTCGCAACAAAGTACAATTTAACATATTCTGGTCCTCCTAAAGAAGTGTATAACCAAGTAATCATTCCAAGATCAGCAAGAAAGTAACCAACTGATGATACCTGTGATATACACATCGCAACAAAGTACAATATAGGTTAGTAAATGTTCATCAGGATGGTATTATGAAGAATAGGATGATAAATGAATAAGGTGAAAACATAATTACCCCTCAAACAAAGTTAGAAAAAGGCGAGCTACCTAAACACCATAAGGCCTTGAAATCTTCTTTGTTCAGAAAACAAATCAGAGAAGAACAGAAAGTACAGTGCCATAAATGAGATAAAAATCTCATCGAGTGTAAAAATCCCCCTGCCAAAGTGATAAGAGACGAAGCATAACATATAAAAGGCTGAAAATCCCCCTGCCATATTCACTCACTCATTTTTGCTTCTTGATGATTCTTCCATATATGAGAAATAACTTGCACAAAATGTTTGTTGGTTGTTAACTCTTCATGAAAGATAATAGCTCCTCCTTCCCTGATTATTTGATTTTCTTGTGCAGGGGATTTACTTACACAACTGTAATGTGATGCTTGATTTATCTTGATTCCTTTTCTGTGAGGTGGCAAGTACGAGAATATAGTTAGTCTCAGTCTTAAAGACAAAGACCCGAGCTGAAACGGGCATGTGATGTTTCCAAATTTCCAACAATCAAGTAACACAAGTCTCGGTGACCAAAAATCACCATGAAAACCAAACAATGCATATTCATTTTTTTTACAAGAATTTATGTATATTCATAATCTCTCTTTTTATTTTTATCACGTTTATTTTGATCGTGAATTGGATTCAGACTGGACTTTATCTATTTATGCAAAGTAATAGTGTAAATTAAAAAAAAACGTGGCCAGTGTTGTTTTTCGTTGAAAGTTAGTGACCAATACACAAATAATAATCAAATTTGAAAACTATTAACGTGCAAATGTTTTTACTTTGCAGCAGCAGCACAGTCATTTGGTGTAGAGTAAAATAGACTAACTGGTTGGATGATACGCGTACAGCAATAACAATAATAAAATAAGTTCTGTTAAGTTAAGATTAACAAACCAAAGGTCGTCGAAAAACGATTAGTTTATCAGAACATTATTATATTTCGTTTACTTTTCTTCACAAAAGATTACATGATGTACTATGGTTTGTTCTGTGCTTTGAAACATCTGATCTAAGAGTTAAATAAAATGGAACTATCAAGTTTCTATGTGCATCTCTTTTTAAAAATAAAAATATAAAAATTGAAATTTTCTTTCGAGGTCTATTCAGATTTTTTTGGTGTAACGGTTGAATGTAATTCCGGGTTTTTCAGTTCGTGTTGAGGTTGGGGCTTCGAATTGAAGTAAAAATGTCCAGACCTAATCAAAGATATAAATATAACTAAATATTTTTCGATTATATACATGATGGCTTATTAACTATCTACGAAAAGAGTTTTAAACTCTTGTATTAGTGTATGCTACTCTTTTTATATCTAACTAACAATTATCTTCATATCATTGATCAATATTTAAGCTATCTAAGATACTATGGAATACTATTCTGATAAAAATGTTTATGAAATGCAAAATCATATTAAAGTTAGAAAACCTGGTGCGTAGCGCCCGAAAACTACTAGTTAAAAATAAAATAAAATACATAAGCAAATAAAAGGTTTTGAATAATTCGATAAACTAGAAATCTTATATCACATGGCGCTGTTTTATATTGTCAACAAATAACAAATATTTTTTTAAAAAAATCCTATTATTTGTATTTTAGTGAATGAAATACTTAAGTTTTAATTTAAACTCTACCAATACTCTAGTACTACTGAAGATTTCAAACAAATGAAAGATTTTTTTGACAAAAACAAAAATATGAAAAATATAAGCAATTCATAAAAAAAGTAACTACATATTCATACTGCTGAAAATTGTTTGTAATGCATCCATCAAATTACTTTGTGTATAATATGTTGTAAAGCATCCAAGTTCATTTATATATTTGTAGTTCGAGTGCAAAAATAGTACAATCCATATTTGCATTGTTTGATAAGAAATCATGCATCATTTAACGAATATAAATCATACATACAAACAGATAAAAGCCAATTAGGGTTTAAGTTTTTTTTTTTTAATTATAGATTTTAATTAATGCCATTATGTGGTGTGTCGCCAATTATTAATTTATTATCATGATTAGTAGGACACGATTTTGTCTAGAGAATAGATGGTATGACGATGAGTTGCGTAGAGAGGTGGTGGGCCATATATCCAGCCAAAGAACAAGGAATCAGAGAACGAGGATAAGAATGATGATCATGTTGCAGATGATGATTAGATTGTTGGCTCAGGAAAAGAAGCTGATTCTCTGCTTATATCAAAGAAAAAGATGAAGAACAACCAGAAAAATAAGTCAAGAAAAAACAATGATCCAAAGAACGCGGAAGGCTCGAAAGCTGATGATAAGCTATCTATCCAGGCATAGAACAAGGAATCAGAGAATGGGGACCTGATCAGGTTCTGTTCAAGTAAAGAAGGAGTAGAAGAAGGGAGATAATCTCTATCTCAGAAGCATATCAGTTTTCTGGAAGGCTTTAAAAAAAAAAAAAGCTGTGGGAGGAAGGAACATGTGATCCAACACCTTTCCTTAAATCTCACACCAGAGATTTAATTAAGGGTGTTGTGGATATGCACAATATAGGTTACATACATGAAAACCTTAATCCTGAAACTATCGTGATAGTATCTAGGGGGGGGGGAATGAAGTAGTTCCAAAGATTTCGGATCTTAGACTTCCTAGGCATAAAATGAAAATTACATAGGTAAGTTGCTCTTATTATCAAAATCTTTATTCTAAAATCGACACTTCAGTTATCCAAAACAACAATAATTGTTTCTCTTATTAAAATTGCATGTGTAAGTGGGAAATGGCCACTCCAAGAGCAAACTCGAAAGAATAAGCCCCATGAAGGGATTGAAAAGGATGTTTTCTCCCTTGGTCTCACTGTGTTCTATATGCTAGCGAAAGGTAGACATATGTACGAAGATGGTGAAGACTTCAAGGATAAACCTGTGAACAAGGATACTCTTAACCGACTTAAGGGTCTACCATCAGAAGTTTGTAATTTCTGGAGGGTGTTGTCAGATAAGAACAACAATCAGCGGTATTGTCTCATTCTTTTTTTTTTATTATTATTGAGTAATAATTTATTTAGTAAGACTTTTGTCTCACACAATGTTTACATATTTACAGTTTTAGTGCAAAACAAGCACTTGCTCGTCCCTTCTTTTGGACGCAAGAGAAGAAGATTTTATTATTTGAGTGAGCTTCTCTTAATATGCTACCATCCCTCATGCTTTTATTGTTGTTTCGTTTGGTAATATATCATCTTCTAACACTCTTCTTGGATTCTACAATAGTTTAAGTTGTAAGTGCCCAAGTGTCTTATAATTTTCATGAATTCGTGGTGATGCATACCTGAGTAATGGCAGGGTAGAGACGAAGTGTTTCTGTCACTAAATCCTTCAACAGGAGGGTACCACAATTTGCAGGAGTGTAAATTAAGATACCATTTTTAAATCAGAATTTAATATTCTTGCAAGTTGTGTTACCCTCTCGTTGAAGGACTTGGAAGCCTCTGTATGGTAATGATGCAGCAGTGGTCTCTTCTGGTATTTCTCTTTCGAGTACTTGTAGATCTCAACAAAGCTTCTCAGAGCTATTAGCTCTCAAGAGGAATACCAATTATGTCTTTAGATACAAAAAGCCAAATCAGTCCAATAACAAAGAAAAGAAAAACTAGATTCAGACACTACCATATACTCCAGTGTCCTTGCTGCTCAACCAAATCTCCTTGAGTCCTTCAGATATTACAGTTCTCACCGACTCCAACTGCAATGTAGGAATCTCAACTGTGCAAATCAAAATTCAGTTATGTGAAGCTGAATCTGCTTACAAGACTCTCGACAATGTAGCTTCCTAAGTGACCACGGACATGCTTGGTCTTGCAGTAAGTAAAGGCACTCAAACAGCCAACGTTAATGGGAAGGATTTCAATAAACTTGTTCCTCCGCACCTGCGATGAAAAAAGAACCCCACTGAAGTCGAACAAGTGGTTGTGTGTAACCCATGAATGACCAAACACACACACATACATATATATAGGACCAAAGACAAGTATGTGGACATCCAAACGTTTTGATGTAAATATGCAAAAATAAATGTACGTGACAGATGATATAAGACGTTGACAGATATAGAAATTTACTTTTTAGATATATCAAGATTTAGTTGATATATCAAAATTTAGTGTTTATAAATAAATAGGTTTTTAAATATTTACTTAGAAAATATACTAAGAGTTAGTTAATATATCAAGATTTAGTTGTTATAAAGAAAGGAAAGTTTGATTCTTATATATTTACTTCTTAAATATATCAAGATTTTAGTTGTTATAGTAAAGCAAAGTTTGATTCTTAAATATTTACTTTTTAGAGATATCAAGATTTAGTTGATATATCAAAATTTAGTTGTTATAATAAAATGAAATTTTGATTCTTAAATATTTAATTTTAGAGATATCAAGATTTATTTGATATATAAAATTTAATTTTAGAGATACAGTAGAAACTCTATAAATTAATAATCGATAAATTAATATACACTAAAATTCTCTATAAATTAATATAATTTATAGTTCTAAATTGAATTTTGGTTCATTTAGTATATCGATAAATTAATAATCTCTATAAATTAATAAAATTTATAGTTTTCATGTAGTCCCAACATCATTAATTTATAGAGGTTTCAGTGTATCAAGATTTAGTTGATATATCAAAATTTAGTTGTTATAATAAAAGGAAAGTTTGATTCTTAAATATTTAATTCTAGATTTTTTGCTCTTTATTCATAAATCACATATAGTCACTTAAATCTATCTTATTAAAATAGAAGTACTAATAAAATATACCCTTTAGTTTTTCAAATTTTTTACACAACAATGCCATTATATTTATTAATAATCCTAATTTTTAGTAATGTTGTCTTTTCAGTTAATTTAATACATTTCTTAAATTGTTTATTAATTTTAAAAACAAAATCATTTCTGGATATCCCCTAGATTTTCTAATATAACAGTTTATGCTACTGATTTTTTTTTTCTAAAAATATAGAAGTTTAAATATGAAAATATTAGAAGTGCATAATAACTATAATTTACATATTCAATCACGTTGGACCATTTAATAGCATATAGTCATCGTTTTTAAGTACTGATTTCAGTTATCATTAATGCTTAAAAATGTCATACTCCCTCTGTTTCAGTTTAGTTGTCCTTCTAGGTTTTTACACACAGATTAAGAAAACAATTAATTTTACATATTTTCAAAATAAAAACACAATTACCTATACACCTAACCACTTTTCAACCAATGAAAAAATAGAATGACTTTTAAAATCAATAAATTTTGCATTGAAATTATAAAACGACACTTATTTTGAAATGAAAATTTTACTCTAAAATGACATTTAATCTGAAACGGAGGGAGTATTAAACAAGAATTTAATACATATATATATATTTTAAAATTATATATTATTATATATAAAATAAATATATATATTTGCAAAAATGTAAAAATAAACCCGCACGAATGTGCGGATCAAGCTCTAGTATCTTTTATTTTGGATTTACTTTTTGGTATTAATACAGTGGCATTTAGAGGAAAATAAGATGATTTGTTAAGGGTGATTTATCAAATATCCCCTATATATTATTTGAGAAGCATTACAACATTCTTTGGTAGCCACGTGTCAGCATGAGAATGCTTCTCAAATTTACTAGAGAAAAATGTTGGTCCATATAAACATATAATATACTTTTTATTAGCCTAAATATAAAACTATTATTAATGCTATTCATTATTTCCTTAAATAAAATTTACGGAATTACCTAATATGGTTACAATATATATATGACAATTAATGATTTGAATATGAAGATTTGATAAAAAAAATTATAGCATCTACTATTTTTGTTAAATTTAANCATATAATATACTTTTTATTAGCCTAAATATAAAACTATTATTAATGCTATTCATTATTTCCTTAAATAAAATTTACGGAATTACCTAATATGGTTACAATATATATATGACAATTAATGATTTGAATATGAAGATTTGATAAAAAAAATTATAGCATCTACTATTTTTGTTAAATTTAATTATAAAAATAAATTAAACTATAACATTAACTATATAACAAAAAATTAGATTTTTACATATGTTATATTTAAATTTTTTACAAACGACTATAAATTAATAAAGCATTGAAAAATTTCAATTATAATATTATTGATTAATAGTTTAAATCTCCTATATGTTGGAGCATTACAACATTTTTTTGTAGCCACGTGTCACAATGAGAATGATTTTCATAACTCTTAGAGAAATATGTTGGTCCAACTAAACATACGTTTATTTTTATTATACCAACTATCATATTTAATTAGTAGTGTACAAAAGAAGATTTTTTATTCTTTCCTTAAATAAAAGCTACGAAATTATCTAATATGATTAACATATATATCACAATTAATGTTTATGAATAATAAATATTTGATAACAATTTTTTATACTCTTTATGTTTTATTTAATTTATATTATTAAAAGAAATTAAAAAATCACATTAATTATATAATAAAAAAATATATGTTCTTATACGTTATATTTTAATTTTTTTAAAACGACCATAAATTACTTAAGATGGTAAAAATCGCACACTGAAATTTTGTGATCAATGGTAACGATTTTAGTTCATCCAATCGTTTTTCTAATGGGTCTTAAATAGTTCATAATGATTAACTAAATGGATCACCCATAATAGAGTGTGTTTTGTTTAAAATTTTTGCATACCCAAAATCAATATGAACCATCATCCATTTTGTTTTAATTTTTGGTATAATAAAAACAATATATGGTTGGACAAAAAAAAACTAAATCCAAATAACCGAACCAAATCTAACCCAAAAATGAATACAAATTTTAAGCAAAATTGGTTAGATATACAAGCGAATTCGAAATTTTGGTATCTAGATAATCAAAACTGAATCGAAAAATTTCGGGTATCCGAGTGTACTCGAACCAGATTTATATTCTTAAATATATTAATTATTTTTAAATTTAACATCTAAGAATATACAAAACACATAAGATGTTTTAAAAAATCCTAAAATACTTAGAAATATGTAAAATAGTTAAATGAAATTTTTTAAAATAGCCAATCAACCTCTAAATACCAAAAATATTTGAAATATTTATTGATTTTTTTGTCCAAATATTTAAGATAAATCAATTTTATGTTAATTTTAAGTATTTTGTCATTCATTTTTCAAATTTATGTTATATATTATTTCTACTTTTAGGTTTTGAAAAACTTAAAGTATATATGAATTTTAATCTTTTTTATAAAAATTAAATGGGTTATGCGAACTTAAACCCAATCTGAACCTGTAAAAATTCAAACCAAACNCCAAATATTTAAGATAAATCAATTTTATGTTAATTTTAAGTATTTTGTCATTCATTTTTCAAATTTATGTTATATATTATTTCTACTTTTAGGTTTTGAAAAACTTAAAGTATATATGAATTTTAATCTTTTTTATAAAAATTAAATGGGTTATGCGAACTTAAACCCAATCTGAACCTGTAAAAATTCAAACCAAACCAATGATCTAAACCAAACATAATCTAACCGAAACAAATAGTACTCAAATGTCCATATTGATAGCAAAATATGTATTTAAATACAACATATTTTTAAAAAGCTCACTCCGCGCATGGCGCGGGTTATCATCTAGTAATTTAATATAATAATATAGATTTGGGCCTAGTTTAATTATTCGAAATTTAGGTCGATATAAAATCATGTTTCCCTAAGAAATATCGCCTTCTGATCTGTGGGCGGGAGAAAATCATCCTGAAGTGTGAAGTATATATAAAAGAAAAGAAAACGTAAAAAAAAAAAAGCGAGGAACGTTAGAAAACCTAATGGGTCTCCACGAAGAATAAGAATCTGAAGGCGGAGAATACTACAAACGAAGATCGGTAGAAATTGAACCTAATGGATCAATCGCGACGTTGAGGAGAAGGATAAGAATATGAGGGCGGAGGAAACTGAAAAGCCGATAGTGTCTTTGGCCGAAGCTGCCGCAAAGATAGTTCCTTCACATCTAGGGGATCACCTCGACGTTACGAGAGTGAAGGAATTACTCGATCTTTGAGATTTTACTATTACTTTGAGAGAGCATTCTCCCAAGTATCATGGACATGGGTGAAGATGTTCAAGGAGTCTGCTTTGTCCACTCTCGTCGATGTGAGCCCAACGTTGATTTTCTGAATAAAAAAAATCTTTTATTTTTAGTGATTCTTGAGGTTTTCCGATCATATCATCTCCATGCAGGTTCCGTTATCTCATATTCCTGGACCTCTCTACGAAGCATCAGTCGATTGGATCATACAATGTCCAGTTCAAACACTCTCGAAGCTCGTATCGTGGACGTGTGATCGTATTCTCCTTGATTTGGCTACATGTGGTGACAAGCCTCCAATATCTTCTTGGCCCAAATCTCAGGTGATAAAACAGCTTCAATGCATATGTGTTTTTGTGGTGTTGATTTTAATTTACCTCTGTGTTACTTTTGATTAGGCGGCACATTTTGTTGTATTAGCTTTGGTATTGCGTGGTAAACCTGATTCTTTGATTGGGGTTTTGCCCTTACTGTGGGAGTTACCCAAGTATCAAGGTCTCGACAAGCTTCCCCTTATAGTTTGGATGATGGCTCAGGTTCGTGTCCTTAGTTTTATTTTTCCCGACCAAGACTGTTCCAAGTTTGTGTTTTTTTTTTTTTAACTGTAAAATATGTGGACAGGCCTCCCGAGGTGATTTATCTGTTGGCCTGTACTCATGGAGGCGTAACTTACTACCACTAATCAGTAATAACAAGTGCTGCCCGCTGTCAATGGATCTCATCCTGCAATTGGTTGAATAGTGAGTCTCATAGTGTTTTCTTCTCACTGGTCTCCTCTTTTCTGCGGTGTAATATTCTCATCTTGTTTCTTCACTTTTCCTTTTCAGCATTTTGTCTCGTCCGGAGGCTCTCACTATACTTGTAAATGGAGGTGGTGTTGTGGAAGGAGAGCGGGTGGTTCCACTCCCTTCACTTGAGATCTTGCTCCGCCTCACATTCCCTACTCCATTTGCAAGAGGAGAGGTAAATATTAGTATTTTGGAGTTTGTTTAAAGAAAACAGACAAAACATTGATCTGTTTGTCGACTCTGATCTTTATCCATGGTTTCTGTATATGTGCTCACAGACTACAGAGAGGTTTGAGGCAATTTATCCCTTGTTGAAGGATGTGGCTCTTGCACCAGAGAAAACAGGAGGAAGAGATGCGATGAAACATGTTTTAACGTTTGCCTTGATGTTAGCTGGAGAAGAAGGTAATTAGTAACAAACCAAGAAGCCTTGAATCTTTGAGGTTTGTGATTCTTTTCTCCAAATAGATTTGTAATGTTATAGGGAATCCTGTTTTAGCCAAGGAAGCTACATCAATCGCTATGAGGTCTTTGACCGAAAACATTGACTGCTTTGAGCACTGGGACTACATCTATATGAATAATCTAGAAGCTAGTGTTGCTCTTCTTAAGAAGCTTGTAGACGAATGGAACAACCATTTCCTCAGACTATCATCATCATCATCATCACCAAGTGACACTTTCACTGTCAATCAAACTATGGAGAGCTTCAGGCGTAAGGTAATCCATCTCTTTACACTTCTTGTAAGCTATAACTAAAGTTGACCCTCCCCTCAGTTGTATTTTCCAACTCTGACCTAACCTGGCAATGTTATGTTGCTAGAACAAAAGAGCCATCGCTGAAGGAGGATCCATTTGTTCTCTTTACAAAGAAGCTGACAAGTACTGCAAACTGGTCTCAAAGAGACTCTCCCCTGGAGGTGGCGGTAAATTGACACCCATTACTACTTTTTTTTTAGCTGCTGCTGGAGCCGCTGCCGGAGCAGCTGCGATTGCACTTGTTGTATTAGCTTAATATAATCACAATTAGAATTTATTTATTTATATGTACGCTAGTAATCCTAAAAAAAAAAAAAGAAAAGGACTAGTAATCCTAGGTTTAACAACATGGTGCTCCAAAACAAATCAGTACAAATAGACGGAATCATATGGCTTTGTATTCTTCATGACTAATGAGTTCTTGCACAAAGAGAGTTCAAGAGGAAGCCCTCGCATACCCATTTAAATTGATTTCGGATCTATTTGAGTTTTAGATCTTAGGAACTAAAGATTTGAACCATATTTAGAAATTTCAAAACTAAATATTATTAGAACATAGAGAGAGAACTTTTATAACTTTATTTTACACTAGATTAGGAAAATTTCAAAACTAAATATTATTATAACTTTATTTTACACTATACAAGAGGGAAAGAAGGAGACAATTTTTTTTATAGTAACAACTTTATTTTACACTTGTAAATAAAAAAAACAGAATAGTATATGTTTATAACTTTATATATTCAATTATGTGTGTATATGTTTTGTTTCTAAAAAAATGAAACCTGGCCTAATACAAAAAACTTTCATGTTTTGGATAGATAAATAAGTAATTTGAATAAATAAGTTTTAGACTCGTAAAGTAAAAAAAAAAAAGAGGAATGATAAAAGTCATAAGGATAATATTATATAAATATATTTTTTTATGATGGTTAGTTTCTTAGTTTATGGTATGTTATTGTCATGACCCTAATCTATCTTTCCTAAAACCATACATCATATATTATTCCTCTTATAGTTATGATGATAAATGAGAAACTACAAAAGAATTGTTTGTTTGCCACTTCCTTTACTAAACGACAGTGGTTTGCATCTCTCTGCCTTCGAATGGATAACGCAGATCAAACAGAAATGTAGATTAAACTGAAGAAATGCAGATTATGCATATAAAGCAAAACAAATGCAGATCACTCTAATTTAATAAATAGTTTATTTACTAACTAGCTATATTTCACCAACAAATTAAGAATATAGCATTAATTTTGACGTTATTAGATCCCATAGCATTTGTGCAATATTTTCTCGGTTTGGTCCTTCTTTTAAGCCGGTTGCCAGTTTGAAAAAAAAAATTATGATCAATACTTGCGGTGAATATTGTGGCGGTAGTGATTATCAGAACAGTGATATTAGTTATCTCATCGGCGGTGATTATGAAGATGGTGACTATAGGAAGAATAATTACGGATGAAATTGAAGTCGTCAATAAAAAATAACAATCATCTTTCAAACAAAGATTACTACAACTATGATATTGGTTAAGCTTTGACTGCAAGGATCGGAGAAAAAAATAGAATAGTACATTCTAAATGGTATAGTTCATATTAATAAAATTATAAAATCATTTAATAATAGGGGAGATAATATTTACCCTAACATCAACCCAAGTCTTCCATAAACTAAAGCCAAAATATTAATCACTAAACCATAAAAAAAATATAAATCTTAATCCAAATATCAAATTTGCACATAGTACAAAATATAAAACATTATCAAAATAGAATAGTAATAAACGAAATAGCATAGTGCATATTAATGTTCAAATTTGAAATGTATATAATTGCAAGGAATGAGGCGTTGCTTACCCCAAATTCAATCCAAACCTTCCATAAACTAATCTCAAAACACTAGTCACTAAACCCTAAAAATAAATATAAACTCAAAACATTAATCACTAAACCCTAAAAAGAAATATAAACCCAAAACACTAATCACTAAACCTTAAAAATAAGTATAAACCCAAAACACTAATTACTAAACCCTAAAAAGAAATATAAACCCAAAACGCTAATCATTAAACCCTAAAGCAAATATAAACCCTAACCCAAATATCAAATATGTACATAGTACATAATATAAATCATTATCAAAATAAAATAGTAATAAACGAAATAGTATAGTACATATTAATGTTCAAATTTTGAAATGTATATGATTGCAGAGAAAGAAAAAATGTTTACCCCAAAATCAATCCAAATCATTCATAAACTAAACCCAAAACACTAATCACTCAAAACTAAAAATAACTATAAACCCTAAGCAAATATCAAAATATGCACACAGTAAATTAAATAAGATAAATCATTACTACAATAGAATAGTATAACAAACGAAATAGTATAGTATACATTATTCAAATAACATAATACAACTGAGACTTTATATGACAACGAAGACGTCTCAACCATAACGCCATCGTGATCTGTAGATTTCAAAAGCAGAGATTATAGATATAGAAGTGGTTATACTGGCTATGAAACTGGTGTTGATCGTATTGTAATGGTGATGGAAGTAAAGTGGTGGAGATCAGAGGAAAATGGTGGTAGTTGGTAAAAGAAGAAGAAGATATTTTTTTTCTTTCGTTAACAAGACTTTACCGTTTTATAGTATATATTATAAAAATAATGGAGGTACTTTTTTCTTGGTTAGATACTTAATTATTGTTTATTTTGTAGCTATACAGTCCAATTTTCCTTTAATAAATTATTATATTTAAATAAATATTTATTTTTAATGAAAAATTAAAAATGTAAACAAAATACAAATTATTATATATGATTAATAAATATATGTTGACAAAAACAATAATAAATGTCACCATTTTAATAAATATAGTGAAATTTTAAAATATTTTAAAATTAATAACAGTTACAAAAAATATAAAGAGTATTCTTGTTTTTTTTGTATTTTTATTCGATTTTTGATTTTTTTCTTACCATTTGATTTAACTATATAACTAACACTTTCAATTTTTACATATGCTATTATGTCAAAAAAATCTTAATTTTAAATTTCAAATTATAAAATGCATAAAGGTATAAGTAATAACAAAAAAATATGTTTGATATTTCATTGACATTAAGTAATTATAAACAACCTTTAACATTTATAATTATATGCAGCTATAGTATGAGTTATTAAATATGAAAGTATATGCATAATTTTATCAAATTAATTTATATGAAAATATTAATTACTTTTAGAATATATATGATATTTATTGATCATATTTTTAAAAGGATACAAAAATAGTTACTATATAAAAACTATGAATATCTAATAAGAATATAAATAATTGTATGTGAACATATTATAGAATATAATTTATCTTTACAAAGTGAAAAAAACTATTAAACCATGTCAAAAAAAAAACCATTTTTTATGACAAAAAAAATCATGTTTTGAGATTCTCTAGATTGAAAAAACATAAAAAGTATTTAACTAATAGTGGACAAAAAGATATTTAACTAATTTAAACAAAAAAAAAAGAAGTCTAAAGCAGAGATTGGTCGCCTACATCACGACAGCTCATTTTATCTTTGTACATGCAGGACATATTTTTATAGACAAAAACTAATTTGCATACGGATCAAGTTACATTTTTTTCATTTTCTTTGTTCTGCATTTAAAATCATGAAAGCAGAATAAATGCAGTTTGATCTGCATATTAAATGATCTGTATTTTAATATCGGCTTTGATTCTGCAAACCATTCAAACCCCTTGTCTTTTCCTAACTGTACAAGATCTTTTAAAAAACCCTAATTGATCGGAACAAGAATCTGAAGGCAAAGAAGAAAACTGAAAAGCCAGGAAAGATAGAATATCTAATGGATAGGTGAGGAGAAGAATAAGAATATGAAAATAAAATCATTGATAGCTTTCTCTAGAAATGATTATCTCTAAGTTGTTTTAGTTCTCTTTTGATATTCAGAGTTCAGTTGAAGGTTCTATGACGTGTCGGTGTTTGGATCTGATAAAATCTGGTGAGGGAGATGAAGAATCGAGGATATTCTCTTTGGCCGAAGCTGCTGCAAAGATCGATCCTTCACATCTTGGGGATTACCTCGTCAAAGCAGTGGTAAGGAAAGTGCAATGGGATCTTAAACCCTAAACCCCAAAAATAAAAAAAAACTCAATTTTTGTTTGTTGTTTTTGTCAATAGAGAGTTCGTTGGTGTCCTGAGGAGCGGTTATCTAGGTTTACTAATTACTTTGTTGAGGCACTTTCCAGAGTATCGTTTCCATGGGTGAAGATGTTCAAGGATTCTCCTTTGTCCACTCTGATTGATGTGATTTTCTGAATAAAAGAAGAAAAAATCTCAGTCTTTGATTCTTGAAGCTGATCATCTCATCTCATCTCTGGCAGGTTCCATTATGTCATATTCCTGAATCTGTCTATGAAACATCACGCTCTTGGATCAACCTACGTCCAATTGAGTCACTCTCCGCCTTTGTACTGCATGCGTTTGATCTTATCCTTGTTGATTTGGAAGCACAGCAAGGAGGTGACCACTCCAAATCTCAGGTGATCGATTTATCAATTCAATTGTTTGTGATTCAATTGGCGAATTCATTAATACCTAACTCTATATATGTTAGTATTTATAGGTGGGAGTGTTTGTTGCATTAGCTATCATTTTGCATTCTAAACCTGAGGCTTTGACTACCGTATTACCCATTCTGAGAGAGAACCCTAAGTATCAAGGACAAGACAAGCTTCCCATTACTGTTTGGATGATGGCTCAGGTACGTGGACCAAGAGTACTGTTCAATTCTGAAAAGTTTTCTAACTGTAAGAGTATGTTTGGACAGTCCTCCAAAGGTGATCTGTGTCTTGGCTTGTATTCATGGGCACATAACTTGCTACCACTAGTCACAGTCAGTAATAAGAAGTGTTGCTGTATCCCTCAGTCATTGGATCTCATCCTGCAATTCGTTGAGGAGTGAGTTTTCAGATTGTCATCTTCTAATTTTGCTGTATATTTAAAAACTTTTGTAATAGTCGTTTTATTTTATGCACTTTTTGTCTTTTATTAGAATTATGTCGCATCCAAAGGCTCCAACCATACTTGTAGATGGAGCTATTAGGGAGGGACAGCCTCTGATTCCACTTCCTTCTTTTGAGATCTTGGTGCGTCTCACTTTCCCTCCTCGATCCGCAAGAGTAAAGGTAAATAGTAGTATTTATAAAAAAAACTAAACCTTAAATGATTCTGATCACAAGCAAATGGTCTCTGTACAGTCTACAGAGAGGGTTGAGGCAATATATCCCTTGTTGAAGGTCGTGGCTCTTTCACCAGACATGGCAGGAGGAAGCAACGCTGTGAAACAGATGTTCACTTTTGCCTTGCGATCAGGTAGAAAGGGTATTGTTACAGGAAATCTTGCTTTAGCCGAGGAAGCTACATCTATCGCTATCTGGTGTGTGCTTGAAAGCGTTGACTGCTTTGAGCACTGGGACATTATCTATAGGGAGAATCTAGAAGCTAGTGTTGCTCTTCTTAAAAAGCTTGTAGGGGAACAGAAGGTTTATTTCCTCAGGCTACCAAGTGATACTCTCATTGTCAATCAAGCTATGGAGAAATTCAGGCGTAAGGTAATGCATCTCTCTTTACACTTCTTGTAAGCTATAACTGAATTTTGACCCTCCCTTCAGCTGTACTATCCATCTCTGAACGCACCTGCCAATGTTATGTTGTCAGAACAAAAAAGCCATCGGTGAAGGTGGAGCCATTTGTTCACTTTACAAAGAAGCTGACAAGTACTGCAAACTGATCTCGAAGAGACTCTCCCCTGGAGGTGGAGGTGGCGGCATCAAATTGGCACCCATTACTACTTTGTTTATAGTTGCTGCTGGAGCCGCTGCCGGAGCTGCTGCTGGAGCCGCTGCCGGAGCTGCTGCTGGAGCCGCTGCCGGAGCTGCTGCTGTTGCAGCACTTGTTGTATCATCCCAGCACATAATTTAATCTTAACTTTAATTAGAAACATATTTTTTTTTGTCAGACAAATCATGTATAAATAATAAATAGACTGAATCATATGGCTTTGTATTGAATCATTCTCTTCCTTACCCCCTATGTCAAAGTGTAAGCTTCAATGACCCCGTTCTATTATTAACAGAGTTTGTTACATTTGCTGTCTTTTTTACAACAAAAGACACTTAGAGCTTGTGGGACACTTTTCCCTTCTTTCTCTCCATTATGTTTACGAAAATAACCTTGGTTGGAGAAAGAGGAAGATTTTGACTTTAGTTGGATTTGGACAAGAAGTTTATGTTGTTGTAATAATATAGTTATGTTTCCTAGTATGAGTAATTAAGATAGGTTTATGGGATAGAGGGACAACTTACAACCGTAGGATGTAATGTAATCCAAGGGTGAAAGGATTTTGACCTATATGAGTTTAAAGAAGTAGGTTTCGACATTAAAGACTAGTCATTCCTCTCTTTTTTTTGTGACGGTGAAGGAGCTGTGAAGGAAGAGAAATGTTAAATCTTGAGCTCTTAATTCTTTTGATTTTGGTGCTGAAGTTTCTGTGAAATTTTGTTAAAACTGACCATGTTTTTTTTTTGTTTTTTTCGGTGACATAAAAGCTTAACCCGCAAGGTTTCGATGGATGAGCAGTGTTTGGTTCTAAGTGGTGACTGGGTTTGTGGAGATGGAGGAAAGTGGGATTTTATGATAGAGAAGAATCAGATGGGAAGAATGGTTAGGATTAGCGAAGGGATGGGTTTCAAAGAACTTGAAACTAATGTTTTCGACGAGTTCAAAGTTGATAAGGGTTGTTTCCATGTATCTTTAAGCTATTGACCACCTTCAACTTTTGAACTTGCAACTGAAATACGGACACCACCGGTGTTTATAACAAGTGATGGTGCTGTGAGGTATTTCTGTCAACATCTGTAAGTGAAAGGAGGGATGAACCTGTTTGCGAAATTTGAACAGAGAGATGTGGACGTAGTTAGGGAGGTCGTAGATGATTCTGGGATGGGTTTCGTATCACCGGGGGTAGCTAAGTTTGATTCTGGTAGAAGCGAGAAGGAAATGGGGTCTTCAAGGAAGGGTTACGTCTCCTCTGCTGCTTCGAAGACAAGAGTAATAAATCTTGAAGATGATGCTGAGTTTATACGTGAAGTCGAGAAAGTAGAGGAGATTCTTCGAAGTGAGAGTGTTAGAGAAGGAAACAGTAAGACTGATTCTGAGAGTGGTGGATGCATCTTGGAAACCGATGAACAAATTAATGCTGAGGAGAATATAGACGAGATAGAAATGAGGCCAAGAGGTTATGATAAGGAGTTTTGAAAACCTTTATTAGATGGTGATTTTGGGGACTCTAATGCTGTGAATGTTGTATTCAATGAGGATGAGATTATTGAGGGTTTGAAAAACAAGAAAAATGGACCACGTTCATACAAATTAAATAATTAAATAATAATATGATAAAGTTAATTTCATCCAACTCAAGGCGCTCAAGGCGCTGATCTTAGCCTAGTGTTATGTTAATTCATAAGTATACCGTGATTTTTGAATCCGACTCAGTGGAGGTACGAGAAATATTCCGCAATGGATGGCAATTCCCTCAGTTTCCAGACTAACACCTCAAGATCAATACTCAGCGTTTGGGCATCGAGTATTATTGGAATCTAGAGAACACGCTAATTCAAGTTGCCATACTGCAGCAGCTGCAGTCACCTCCTCCGTTACGACAGCTCTTCGTTACCAGTCATGCATCGCAGCTTTTGGACCGGTCTGGCTTCAACCCCTTCTCTCCACTGATGCATGTGGATGAAACAGAGAGCTTGGTTAACGTCTTGTGTATGATACTTTCCATTTTGCTCCGTCTGGAGATTTTACTCAGTTTACTTTTCTTGTGTACGTTCTTGAATAGTCATGCTTAGTGATTAAGTGCTAGGTAGAAAGATGAAAATCTTGTTAATCCGTTCATGCTCAAGAAGAGATACTCCAAAAACCTTAACATCTACATGACTGGTGAAGTATAAATTCTCAGCTGGTGGATCCTCATTTCTTCACTAAACCAAAAGATTATTTACATGAAACCATATGTATGACTCTCCTCTGCATCGAACCATATGCATTTCTTCAACAAAGGTTGCGCTGATAGCAAGTACTCTGGCAACAAGTCCACAATCCCACACCCCTTTGGGTATGAAAATGTAGAAACGGCTCGTCTTATCTCCAAGACCAAATGAAAGAAAAAGATAAACCAAAACCACGGTAATGAACAAGTAAGACCTTGAGCTAAAGCAATGACTCTCAGTGGTTTTACTCTACAAAGAGATTTGCCTTTGCACTAGCTTCTTTGGCACTGGACCTTTATGTTCCATTTGAATACTATCACACACATTAACAAACCTTAACAAGTAGATGTTGCTAATTTAGAGCAAGAATTAAAATTCCAAAATATATTTCTCCTGAATAAAAATGAAAAAAGATTCAGTAACCATAAAAGATAAACATGAAACGGTTTGGTTAATAAAAAGAAAACTCATCCAGACATTTGGGCTAAGATGAAAACATAGAAGAAGAGAAAAAACAAGACAAACTAGTTTTATATATGAAAAAGAGAGTTCATGCATCAAACTATAACACCTATAGGTCTCAAAAAGTACATTGTCTCAGCAACCACAACCTGACTGCACCACTCAACTTTACCCCAAACCTCATCTCCTTGATGTCTCCCCAGCGAAATCTCTGCACACCAAATCTTCGCTGTTGCTTCACATTTTTCTTTTTCTTTAATAAAAAACAAAACCAGATTTCGACCAAAAGGCACACTCATCGTCAAATATTGATGTGCCATCTCAGCCAATAATTCATCCAAACCTTTCACCACTCCCCAGCGCCTCTCCTTCGGATCATACCTGTTTAAACACTTCTCAAAACTATCGTAGTAGTACATAACGTCATCAAGGACGCACGCACTACCATCATAGTACTTAGAACTCAGTACATCGTCTGTTTCCCATTTACTTTCCTTTGGCACGTAAACAAGCATGTTCCCATTGTACTTCATGTATATCTTATTAGCCATCACTCTCATCCAACCCTCGCCCCATATCATCCTAGGTGGTGGTGTAGTAGTGTCTGGCTTTATCACCACAGGCTCCCACATTTGTGTTTCTATATTGAAGACGACCACACTCTGTGACTTCATACTGCATTTTCCAAATACGTACACTTTCCCGTCGAGAAACGCAGCAACTGTATTAGTCATGGGTATAGGCATGTTGGGGAGTGGTTTCACGGTGTGCGATCTGCAGTCGATGCTGAAGGCCCTCAATAAAGTTAGGGTTTCATTATCATCCCTCCCACCAAACCCATATATCATTGAACCCACCGTAACAAAGCTTTCACCTTTAGGAAAATCCAAAAGGGAAGAGATATGGACCAAGCAGTGGCTGCCGTCGGCTTTCCGGCGAAGAATATACAAACGGTCATTAGAGGCCTTACGGCTACGGATTATAACATATATACAGTTCTCGGTGCACCTCAACAAAGATCTTCTTGAGTATATCTCATGTGACGTAACAAGTGATCTGAACTGCTTGGAAACGAGGGAGAGAGCTGGATAGTCGTGTCGTGGTACACGTGCTAAGATGTCGACGACGATGTCTTCGGGAAATGACGTGAGCAGAGAAGGTTGCGAGGATTGCTCATATCCTCCTCCATTCGTTTTGGAAGTCATCTCAGAGAAAGTATCACACAGACCTAATCGTAATCTTAAGGATCAATTGACACAAATTCCTTGTTTTTTATCAGATTAGTTTTACCTATATATACTAACCTCTATCATAGTTAATTTAGTTTCCACAGATATTCAGGGATTTGTTTCTTTTAACCACATATTTGGATAATGTTACTAGTTATAACAAATTTGTTTCTTTTTACCACATATTTGGTTAATTATGACAGATTTATTAGTGTTCATAGATTGATTCTTTTTATCACATTTTACTTTATTCTCATAGCTTACATAGTTTTATAGATTTGTTTACTTTTACAGAGATTTACTTGACAAAATTAATTAATTAGTTGTTGGCTTCATTTTTTTATTTTTGGAGAAAAAAACCGAAAGTATCAATAGTAAAATTATCCAAAATTAATTAATCTATTTTGTAGATTTTTTGTCTTTTCTCTTTAATTATTACAGTTCCAAAAAAATTAGTTGAGGAGATTTTTTACGAGTTGTTTATAATTAAGGGGTTTTATTACTAATAACCCTAAAATCTACTCTATTAAAACAGAAGTCATGACTTTTTTAATGTGTGATATTTTAAAATGGACCCTCTATTAGAGGTCATTATATTTAATTATCTTATCATCTATGGTCATACTAATATCACATTAAGTATCACAGTAACAATAATAGTTTAACAGAATCGTGTCCTATATGTTATTAAAATAACACAATAGAACTTTTGTATTATTATAGAAATCATCTCTTATATTGCGAACACATACATACTATTTGATTTCATGTGTTTTTATCTCTTAGGTTAGATCATCTACTATAAAGAACATAAACATATATATATATATATTGGTATCAATCCTGTGTTCATGTCTTATTCATTTTCTTAGTCGCTTGACTATTGTTCTTCAATATCGCTAGCTTCAGATATATAATTCCTTAAAGATGACCATTGTTTCAAGTTTTAGAAAATTCACATAAATCCATAGTCATGTCTTAGTTGAAAATATATAACTCTTTTGTAAATGGCCATTGTATTAAGAACTTGCTCGTGTCATGTCTTGGTCATTTTTTCTTTTATTTACATTAAATTGCACAAGTCAATATTGATCTCTCTGTAAGTGATTATGGTTACATGTTTATGAACCTTTGCACAATATGCAGTTGGAGAAGATGAAGATGGACCCATTATTCAAAAATTTATCCAATTTATTGCCTTAGAGATATGAATATATTACCTTACGCAATATTCGCCTATATTCAAAACTAGAATAATAATTCCAAGAATTTCGTGATAACTAACCATATATAGTAAACTAAAATCTTACCAAATAGTTAGCAATTTTGTGGATCATATATATTCCTTAAATCGTGCTCATATCACAACATATATATCATTTTTTAACTTGCTTATAAATATAGATATATTCTTTTACTTTTTTTTAACAACAAAAAGTAAACTAGGTAGTTGGTCCTACGGTCAGAAATTCAAAGCGGAGATGTGAAAAAATATACTGTATATCAAATCTAAAATTAGAAAAATTGTATTTTTATTGGAATTTATGTATTAATATATGTAAACCGCCCGAAATGTATGCTTTATAAACAAATAGACTTGGAAAATGGTAAGTTTTACATAAACAAAAAAAATCAAATTACTTATGTAACATACTATTTTAGTTGTTTGAACATCAGTAACACATATTACCAACAAATACAATTTACAAAAGAAAAATAAAACATATAAATACCTATAATTACGAAACATAAAAAGTAAAAAAAAACACCCGCGCGGTTGCGCGGGTCAAAGTTTAGTAAACTATTAAAACTAATATATAAATCCAAAGATATCTCAAAATTTTCTGAAATTCCAAAGAAAATTTAATAATACACCAAAACTCCAAAAAATCTACAAAAACTTAAAATCCAACGATAAACCAAAATTAAAAATATAGCGGATAACCTGAGAAAATAATAAATACTAAAAATTTAAAAATATATTAAAACCCAGATTTTTTTTCAAATATAATAATAATAAAACATATTTAATAAAACTATATGCTCTCATTAACATATTTAATAAAACTATTGATAGACCATTAGTATTATACTATTTTAAATTTATCATAATAATTAGTATATAACATATTATACTTTTATTTTCAATAATATATCTATATATATATATTTACTTATAACATATATTATTCTTTTTATAATTAATATTATTTAATTACATAAATAAAATTATATTTTAAACGTAGGTTATTATTAGAAGTTTATTTTGGATATAAACATAATTTTGAAATTATTCAATAAAATAAATTAACTGTATATAATTTGTTTTAATTTTTTATATATTCAAATGCAAAAACTATATATGAGAACATTGAGCAAAAAACATTTAAAGAAATTAACATCTTGTAAATAATTTCTTAAATTATTTTGAATTAAATGTTAATTGGAAAATAGAGAACAAAATGTTTTTACAAATTCTTTGCCAATGGAATCATATGCCGTCATCAAGCTGCAGAGTTAGGTCATTTATGAAGAGGCCAGAGTTTCTGAGCTTATAGTTGTAGATTTGACAAATGTCTCCAAATTTCATAGACTTGTAATAATAATAATAATAACTAGATTTTGACTCGCGCTTGAGAAACGCGGGTTTTGTTTTGGTTGTAACAAAATGTATCAAATTATTCGATTTCTATTATATGATAGTTTTATATGTAAAATTTGATGTATAGTTAACCTTTTAGTAAGGTATTTTCATTGAGTTTTACATAACCGAGTCAGTTTTTGGTTAAACCGAGAATCAGAAAATTAAGTGTTGCGAGAGTATAAAGAATTAGAATACATATTAAATTGAAACCAAAATTGGATGGGTCCATGTCCCATAGTAAATTTGAAAAATCAATACTATTGAAAAGAAATAAAAAACAATTTTTGGTTGGTGAGTACCCGCAATTCAACATCGACCAAACCGCACCCGCCTTGCATAAAATACTCATAACCCGCACCCGCCAATCAATTTTTTTTCAAATTGTTCAACCCGCACTCAGATTCCCAGTCCTACTTACATCATAAGCATTTGAGATCTGGACCTCACCTATAACCAAAAATAAATCATAAGCATTTAAGTAATTTCTTCTGACATAAAACAGAAAAATGAAGGAATGATCAAAATATTGAGTTAGTATAAACATATTTTCAACTATATAAACAATGGTCATTTAGTACAAAATCGAAACATAAGTTTTTATTTTCAAGGAATACATCTATATTGTCCAATCTTAGCAAATCGTAGAAGACATATCACCATGCCTTCTGTTTCTTGGCTAGCTGTATGAAGATTCTCAGCAAATTTACCCCAAAGACAGCAAACTTATCTCTGACCACTAAGAGAATTGCATATCAAGTTATATATCAATATGTTTATAGGCTTATATCTTATATATTAAATATATAAAACTTACGAAATGTCCACGAACTCCAACACGAATATGTTTTGCCAATTCAGGAATGTATGTCTCACGAGGCATGGAACTTAGTTCCCTATATAAACAAAAAAATCACATTATCAATTTAGGTTAAAATTCTACGAAATGAAGATATTTAAATCATAAATCTATATAAAACGATAAACTTATATTTGCATCACAAAGGATTAGTTCCATGGTCTCCCCTATGTCTTTTACGAAATGTCTCCATGTATGAAGGATTTTGACTTGGACGCGACATGTAGTCTTCCTCGGTTTTATTGTTCAAGAAAGACAACTGCAAATTATTCGTCATTTTTGTTTAGCTTTTTCAAGGAATGATGAATATAGTGGTTAAGAGAGGCTATATTTATAATAGGTAGGGAGATATACATTTAGGTTACGCAAATGTAGGGTAGAATATTCAGACGATTTTAAAAAATATCTCTTTCGAGGAATAAGACATATTTTTTGAAGATATTTTGAATTAGATAGGAAGTTTAAAGTTTAACAGTTAATAGTAATCTAACTACCGTAAGTTACCGAAATTTATGGGATCAAACCAAAGAATAACTAACCACGATATTGATTGTGGTTAATCTATAAACTTGCAGATGAAGCAATTTATTTATTTTAGTATGAATATAATTATAGAAAATAGTTTTTACAATAACTAAACGTATCTCGTCCACTAAATGTCACCATGAGAATGATGATATATCGACATATAAAGAAAAGTTAATACGAAAATATTTAAAATTATCTTGGATATAACAAATTTAGTTATTATTCAATAACAATCTTAGTATATTATTTAAATATTTTAAAAATCAGATATCAAAGATATTACCAAGATCTTTTCTAATATTGCATTTTTACAATATCTTTTAATATCTTTTTCTGTAAAGTATAAATATTTCTTGTTTTAATATTTATTTTAAATAATAAAATGTAATTACTTTTAAATATTATTACAATTAATTTTAATTCATTTGGATTTATTAAATAAGAAATACCATTACCATATTATTTATAAACACATTATTCTTATTCATAATTAAATTACTACAAAAAATAATATATATATATATATATATAATAACTTAACTAAAATTATTTTATAAAATATAAATTAAAAGAATTACATATTCATGACAACATAAATTCATAGAGTTTACAACATACTTCAATTTATTAATACAAAATATTAAAATATATATTAAAAGAATAAAAAATTATATTTAATATAATATCTAAATTACTATATTAAAATATAATTTAATATATTTTTTATTTGATAAAAACAATATTATTTTTTTGATTTTATTATACAGTATATTGAATTATATATTATGATTTACAATTACAATTTATTTTATAAATATGTAAACATTTATAAGTATGAGAGCAGCTGAACACCATATAATTAATTTATATTATAATAAATATTTATGTAGTCATTTTATAGATTGAAATCGTGTAATAAAAGGTTTATAAGATAATATAAATGTATGT